TATCTGTGGTTGCAGTTTCCAGAACCAAAATAGAGAGAAAGCCCTTTCAGAATCCCATACTCTAAATCTAATACAGAGAGGGGGAGAGAGGGTGGGGGAGGGGGAGAGGGAGGGAGGAAGGAAGAGAGGGGGGAGGAGCTGGGAGGTCTCTAAAATACTATAACATGAAATGAGGTGGACTTTTCAATTGATGGAAAAAATATTCAGAAAATAAATCACTGTTGTTTAGTGTTGTGGTATCTTGCTTTAGTGGGGAGACATTTCAGTGGCAACACTTCCTCCTTTTGAAAGGAAAAGGACACCCTTTCTATTAATGCTAGATACATTTATGAACAGACAACTTAAGATCATCTGGATAAGAAAAAGTAGTATTGCTGCAAATCTCCAAGAAAGAAAATGTCCATGCTCAAATCTTGTCATCCCGACTTTGTTTCAGCCTATGTTTATGTATTTTTATGTATCCTTTGCACCTTCCCTTCTGAGTATGGATGGTAGTGGTGAGATATTCTCTCTGTGTGTATGTGTGTTTCAGTGGTGGGTTTCAGCCAGTTCGCACCTATTCGGGAGAACCGGTTGGTAACTTTCTAAGCAGTTCGAAGAACCTGTTGTTGGAAGAAATCTCCTTTTGGTTTTCTTCCACTTCACGGGGCTAATCCTGTAAGGAAGGCTGGAAGGAAATACTCTGGTGTTGTTTCTAGCCTAGCCTAAAGACTAAAGCCTAGTCTTTATTGCCCTGCTTACAGAAACTGCCTCTCCGGTTAACCCTTATTACATTGTAACAGCTAAGGCAAAGCGCCTATCGATGTGAGTGACATTGAGTTGGTCATGCCCACCCAGTCACATGACTACCGAGCCATGCCCGCCCAGCTGGTCATTAGGGCAGAGAACCGGTTGTTAAATTATTTGAATCCCCCCACTGGTGTGTTTGTGTGTGTGTGTGCATGTGCGTGTCTCTCTCTTTTTCTTCTTCTTTACTACAGAGGATATACAATACTCCTTTTTTCAGCTTTGACCAAAATTCATATTCACCATATTCACATTCTCTCTCATTCATACTCAGAAAGTCTAATAAAGCACTTCCTTTGCTCAAGAAGGGACCTTACATATTCCAACAATTTGTCTGTTCATCTTCCACTAATAGTAGGAGACATGAACTGGCCAACTTATGACCTAGAGCACTCTTCAACTCAAACGCAAAACAATGATCCAGCATTGCTCCAAGTAAAATGTACAGTGATAGCCCTCTTTCATGGGTCCATGCTGCAAATCCTGTTATTGTTTATTATCATCATCATCCCTAATTGCACAGTGTCCTAGTAGAGACAGAAATGGAGACGGTTTTGTGCTCCTGGAAAATAAGAGGGATGTATCAGCATGCTTGGGGAACTTTATGATTTAGACAAGTACATCATTCTTTTAAAAATATAAAAGATGGCTTTCAAAACTGCCTGATAAAGATTGACTGGGTGTCAGAAACTAAGGACAGTTGTATATCATGTGAGCAAACTAAAAGAAAACAAATGAGGCTTAGTTGAGTTCCTAACAGACTAGAAAGCTGCATGAAGGAGCAGGCTTCTTAAATGAGATGATGATTTATTGAAACATTTTCTTGCAGGTGTTGTTGTAAAGGAAAAAAATTCTGCCTAAATATATTTGCTGGGTTAATACTATATGCAGGTTCACACATTTTGTCATACAGTCTCCATAGCATACATGTGAATTTGCCTGTACATATGCAAGGGATGTGGTGGCTCAGTGGCTAAGATGATGAGCTTGTTGATCAGAAAGGTCCCCTTCATTTTTTTCCTCTGTACCTTTGTGATACGAAGGCACAATCATAAGTTTATAGTTGCAGAAATCAACATTTAAAAATAAATTAAACATTTGCATTTATTTTGGGCGAAAAAGTTACTTTGCTGTGATATTTTCCCAGCAGACAATGATAACAGCAGGGGCGATGGAGTGCAGATGACACAAGGCCAGCTCTATGATGCTATTTCCCTTGACTGCATCAAGATTCAGAATCTCTAGAATAGATCAAATCAGGATCACAGTACCAAATAAGCTTACCTATTTGAGTTGGAGAGACTAGTGGCTCAGTGGCTAGGATGCTGAGCTTGTCGATCAGAAAGGTTTGAATCCCAAGTGCTGCATAATGGAGTGAGCTCCTGTTACTTGTCCCATCTTCTGCCAACCTAGTAGTTCAAAAGCACGTAAAAATGCAAGTAGAAAAATAGGGACCACCTTTGGTGGGAAAGTAACAGCGTTCTGTGCGCCTTCAGCATTTAGTCACGTTAGCCAAATGACCACAGAGATCTCTTCGGACAGCTCTTCAGCTCTTCAGCTTTGAAACAGAGATGAGCACCGCCCCCTAGAGTCGGGAATGACTAACACGTATGTGTGTGGGGAACCTTTACTTTTACCTTTATGCAAGCATACATTATACATCCCCTGCAACTGTTTCAAGATTGGCTGTCCTCTCCTAAGAAGGCCACCCTTGAAGAAGTCGTATTATAGTTTATATTGAGCTTTATTCCAATGTGGCTAATGACCAAAATTTAAGGGCTATCTTAGGTGAGGAAGAAGGGGAGTTTCAATTCCTTTTAATTTGGCAGGCTTCCTTTCCTCAAACTTTTTTTTAAAAAAAAATCATTTTATTCCTTGAGGGTAAAATGACACCCTTTGCTTTCAAGATGATAATTCCTAACACTTTTCTTTGAAGGTCTGGAGAAGATGCAAAAATCTGGGTAGATAATTCTTGCTAATGTCTTCAAATCAGTGTATTCCACTTTAAATGTTTCAACCAAATGTATGGGGGGGGTGGGTAGGTGGAGGGAATAAAAAAACCAAATATATTTTTATATATATATTCCTTGTTCTGTTCTGTTTTTAAAGGTTTCTACTTAAAGATTGGTGCCAGAGCTACAGTGCTTATATATTTTCAAAATGTGTTTTAAGCAATAAGTTGTACAACATTTTTAGAACATGTGTTAAGCTATTTCTCTAAGAATGAAGCTCTTAACAAAACATAAGCACTCTGCATGAGATCTTAGCAGCAAAGTGCTTAAAAGATAAAGTAAGAATTGGTACCATGGGAAGAACACCAGCTGTAGTGCACACAGGTCCATTATGAGAAGGATGGTAGAGGGTAGGGAGAAAATGATTTAATCAGGAGTAAAACCAATTTTATTATAAGGGCACGCAGGGGGTGTGGCACCATAGTGAGAAGGACATTTCAAAATATCTGACAGATTTCAACAATGTGAAAACCCACCCTGTTCTTTAAAGTGACAGTAAACCCCACCAGGTCTCTCCTTCTGAAGCTATTGTGAGTAGACAACTGTGTAAAACTGGCCTGCTAAGTCACTGCCTGTCTTATTTCAATGGCATGTTAAGGAAATAAATAAATAAAAGGATAATTGTTGAAATACAATCAATCAAATTTTATCTTGAAGGATTTTTTTTTGCTGATTTGCCTCCTTTGTTTTTAAGCCCACTCTTTTATTAAATTTCAAGAGCCTAATTGTTTTTGTGTTAATCTAAACTCTTTAAAAAAATATACTTAAAAGAATACTTTTCAGTGATTTTTTTATTTAAAAAAAAACGGTTCACTTAAAAAGATACATGAATGTTAATGCAGGGGGGGAATCAGATCTGTGTTAAATTTAAATTTCTTCTACAAAGAGAAATAATTATTACAGTAAAAATGTACATGGCTTTTTTTAAAAAAAATGTTCTCCATATACAATTAATAATATTGTATTACCAATAGCTAAATCAGGCATACTTAATTATTTATCAAAATTACTGGGATTATATTTTATTGTTCTCCAATAGTTTTATGCTGACATATTAAGTGAATAGCTCAGTAAAAACAATGCCACTTTTAAAAAGAATTCTGTTATTTAGGAGAACAGGTGATACTATAGAAAATGCTGTTTCCTTTTAATTCAGACTGACAGGCTTTTTCACTTTTTGTGAGTTATGTCAGGTCTGGGGTTTATTGTTGCTGTAAAATAATACCAGATGTTTCTAACAAGCATTCAAAGAAAAGAAAAGTAATAATCTCCCTATCTTTTCTATTAAAATTATTTTTTTTGCCTTTCTTCTCCTTTTATATTTAAATTTCCAGCTCAGTCAAGCTTCAAAAGAAAGGATTTCTGTTCTTCAGAAAATCAGTTTTGCAAGCATGTGTGGTTTGTCTTTAGCGTGTTATCATTTTTGACAGCTTTGCATAGCTTAGGTAGTCCAACAGGGGTCTGCCTAATATTGTTGCTGGGCAAATCTTCCCCGAGTTTAAAAAAAAAAAGAAAGAAAAGAAACAAACAAACAAAATATTTTTGAAGTTGGAATTAATATCTCCCCCCCTTCCCCAAATTCCTTGATGGCATTGCATTCAGAAAAACAGAAATGAAATGAAGGAGGGGAAAAAAGTGTTGCCCATTATTCCCTTGTACATGGCAACAGTAACACATGTAAAGCAATAACTCATTTTGTATTCCTGTGTTTAGCATATGTCTCCTGTTGGCGCAGCAAGGCCTTTAGGCCGGTCCCTTGAGCCGGTCATCATTGGCAACTCTTAGCCCCTTGGCCTTGAAATCAAATAGCTTTGAATCATGTTGAGCCGGGATGCTAATTTTTCCTACTGATGCATTCTGGGAATAAATGTATTTGACATCCTGTGTCAATGTTCCAGTCTCTTTGTGCCTCTTATTCTTGGGGGCAGGGGGTTGGGGGGTGTTTTGTTTTTGTTTTTTTTCCGTTAGCTGCATTCCTACAGATGGTATTCCATTGAAAATGTTCTCTTCCGACTGGGGGAAAAAATAGAAAGAAAGGAGGAGAGAGAGAGAGGAAAAAAAAACATGCACAGCACCAAACCTCTAGGTGCAGAAGGCTGTTAACGGTTGCTGATGATAGTAGGCAAACATTAACATAATAATTAGTGTCTTGTAATTGTTTCATTAAAACCAGTTGTTCCATTTCTCCTCGTGTTTTCCCAGAAGAGAAGCTGAATTTGGACGACAGCCAGTGGGAGGACATCCACGTTGTCACCGGAGCACTCAAGATGTTTTTCAGAGAACTGCCTGAGCCTCTGTTCCCATACTGCTTCTTTGAACAGTTTGTGGAGGCAATAAGTAAGTACATAGTATACAGTAGGAGTTAATTAAATACCTATGTGCTTTTTCTAAAGAAAAGAAAAAGGCTTCGGATCAGAAGAGTTGCATCCAGAATACATATACATATACTTATACATATACATATACATACACATACACATACACATACACATACACATACACATATACATATACATATACATATACATATACATATACATATACATATACATATACATACACATACACATACACATACACATACACATACACATATACATATACATATTCATATTCATATTCATATACATATACATATACATATACATACACATACACATACACATACACATACACATACACATATACATATACATATTCATATTCATATACATATACATATACATATACATATACATACACATACACATACACATACACATACACATACACATATACATATACATATTCATATTCATATTCATATACATATACATATACATATACATGTATAATTTTTATTACAGTTTATTGTGTGTGTGTGTGTGT